ATTACATGTTTAAAATTCAAGGATTGGTATGGTTAATAAATTTATGAGATGTAAAAAATTTATTTTCATTCTCAAAGTTACTTTGATTTAATTTTATACTGCAACTTTTCGTTTTTCAGTTTGTCTCAAAAAGGAAAATTTTTTTAGTTTACTTCTTCAAAGATGCATTTCCCTTACATCAGTATAGCTAACATCGTACTTAAGTTAATCTCTCCTCTATTTGCTATTATTAGGCATTGTAGTGCACATTTAAAATACAATCTTAAGCTGGAAACGAGCGTTCAATCAAAATTTTTCTCAAATATTATCAGCATCTTTTTACTTTATCATACTCGTAAAAAAGATGAAATTTATTGGAGAGAAAGCTTTAATTTGAGTAACAAATTTTTGCAAAATATGGCCGTTTTTATCCTTTGCCGTAACGCATCTTATATTGGTCTACTGTAGTAAGAACGCTAGTACAGTGTTTATGAACTTCGAGCATCAAAAACCTATTTTTTTCCATGCATCAAAATTATGCCCATTTTTGTCACAAAATTGACTCTCGTCATCTCCAGTTAAATTGTTTCTGTGTTTTACGTACCACGTGTGTCACGAGGGAATGGAATAAATGATGACAGCTGACAACGTTTACGCTCATTTTTGATGGAAATAATTCAGCGAAAAGTAACTTTCAGCTGGCAGTGACAATCAAAAACTTTGACTTCTTAGATTGACAGCTATTAACAGCGTTTCGCAGGTGGATATTGTCTTAATTTCAACACTTATCTCATAAAGGTTTACCGGTTTGTCTTGCAGGCGCATGAGTCTTCTGCTGTATATCATAAACAGTAATTCAATTGCATTTCTGAGGCCTTGATGTTATGAAGAAAAACTGGAAAAAAATGGAAGGAGGTACATTGAAGTCATGAGTAGAAATTTTGCTTAATTTCACAGAAAGTGAAGACCATTAAAAGACCTCCCGAAGTGTATAAAATAAAGCATTTAATCTTTGATTTAAAAAAAAAAAAAGAACGGAAGTTTATGAAATAAGAAATCTTTAATTGTGCTTTGTTCCGTTATCTGGCTTTCTAGCTAAAGATCATTATGGCAATAATTACGTAATGTTTCTACCCACCCAATTTTACAAAGATTAAAAGTTAAGGACATTTTATTTTTGGACAAAAAATCTGTTAGTTCACCACTGTATCTATAATTTCGGTAGTTGCCACTTTTGTAAATCTTTCACTAATTTTTAAAAGATACTCAACAATGTTTTTTCTGATAAAAAATAATTAATGAATGCATATAAGTAGCACTGTGCCCGTTAGTCATATTACCTCCACTAACTGCCCAATTAAGAATTCCATATGCTATTTATAATACTATATCAATTTTTTCTCGTACTGGTTGGGGTACGATTGTTATGATTGTCACTCGAAATTTCTGGCATTCTTAACGATCGTAGATGACTTGTTGGTAAATGTTTGCAACGTAAAACAAGAGTAAACATTTGTGAACAAGCTCATATTTGCAGGAGAAAAAAATTGTCAGAATATTGAAAGTTAGTTTTATACAATTTAGCACTTTCTGTAATTTTGCCACTTTTCTTTGGAACTGCCAGAAAACTGAGCAAGAGCAAAGTCAAAAAAAAAATGAAGTATTTTAAAAACATTTTATTGAAGGTTTTTGTTTTGGTAATTTTTGGAACATTTTCTAATTGTTTCCACTAAAAAAACTTCAGTAATTTTCTTAGCTTTTATGGCTTTTTGTTTTAAACATCAAAAAACTTCATCAAACATTTTTTAATGGGAGATGGCTCAAATAAATGAGGTCTCTAAATTATACCAATATATTTTCATTCTAAGCGGTCATTCATCTATATCCATTCATTTGTTCTCCTTGAGCATCACTCACTAATCCTCCAGTCAATTCGTTCGTTGAACGCACAAATTTACTTGCAACAAAGATTTGATTTCAGTTAGCTGGCATCTCATGAATGATCAGCATTTGCTATCGCTTTTTTCTTATCTCTTTTCACTTTTACACTAATTTATTCTTGATTAACTCAGTTGCATAACCCAAATGGTTAGTGAAATGCCACGAAGCTGAATGGTGAAGCTTTGTTAATAAGTTTGCAAAACGTTAGAGATGG